GGTTGTATGGGGTTTGGACCAACCTTCTCTAGCAGAAGGTGTCCCTGTCCATGGCAAGGGGTTGGAACTGGATGAGCTTTAAGCTCCTCTCAAACCATTCCATGATTCTGTGATTCTATGATTCTATATTTGCATGTGCCTGGGAAACCTCAATGTGCAAACACTTCATGTGCAGATACTGGGTGCTTTGTCTTATGTCCACCCCTCTTTGCTAGTGCTGTCCTCCCTCCAATTGCTCTTCCTGGTTAGGGCATCATTCTCTTCCCTGTTGATGACAATCTTGCTACATACTTGCCCTGGTGCTGATGCCAGAGCTGGGCTCCTCTGCCTCTTGCTGTTTCTATTAACTAATGGCCAGGCTGAGCCAAGGAAGCTGTGGCTGCGCCATCCCTGGCAGTGTTCAAGGCCAGGTTGGACACAGGGGCTTGGAGCAACCTGCTCTAGTGGAAGGTGTCCCTGCCTGTGGCAGGGGGTTGGAACTGGATGAACTTTAAGGTCCCTTCCAACACAAATCATTCCATGATTCTATGCCCTCATGTGCCAACTCATGAATCCCAGCTGAACCTTTAGGAATCACCTTCCTTTTCCCACTTCCCTGCGCTTTCTCACTCTTGCAGAAAGGGTAGCTTTGCAGTTAACCACCACAGTGGGATTCATCCAGCTTTTGGCTCAGCCCTGAGGCAGCTTTTCCTCCCACTCCCTCAGTCCTCCATCCATCCCCCGCTCCTTTCCACCCTTCCCAGCCTGTCCCAGAGCCTGAGTCCTACAACCGAGTTTTGTTTCCTTCAGACAACACTCCTTCCTCATGAACTGCCTACAGAGAGTCCCCGCTGTGGCTGGGGCACATGTGGATACCCAGAGCAGAAGAAAAGCCAAAAACCATCAGATTTTAAAAATGACAAATGCTCTTTATTGGACCATACAGTATGGTAGGCGTGGAAGTGAAGAGGCTGTAGCCATGAGGACAAGGGGTTAGGAACTGGTGTGGCCATTCATATACATAGAAAGCAATAACCTTTCCCACAGGTGCCTGAGAAAACAGAAAGGGCTGGAAAAAAATCTTTAGTTGCAAACAAAACATTTGGAGGTTGTAACGTGTGTTGTGGACAGAGGCTTTTAGAGCACCTTGGAGCTATTTTCATTGCTGGGGACCCAGGACTGAGGATTCACAAGGCTGTCACTCTTGTTCTAGGATGAGTGAAATGAAGGTGTGTGGCCGAACGCAGTTTTTCCCGTTCAGCAAAGTGCTTCCACTTTGCTTTAAATGCGTGACACCAGGGGCAGAACAGGGGAAGAACAAGGACTGTGCTGAAAGAGGGCCACCACGGGGTCCACCGCAGCTCCCCAAAGCCCTGTCAGTGACCCATTACAAACTATGCTTTAGCCAAAGGTACTCCAGATTCTCGTGGGATCCTGGTCTCCCCCCACTGTCCTTGAAGGTGGAGGGAGGAGGACGGAGGAAGGAGAGGGTCTAGCGCAGCTATTTACACCATCGATCCATAGGGCAACACTTGCTTTCCGAAGGCAGGAAACACATCGTCGTCGTCCGCGGAGGGGGTTCCTGTGCTCAGCATCCTTATCTGATGGTCTTTTTGCTAGTGGTGGTCTTAGAAACGATCCTCACGCTGCCTCCTGTGCTGGAGCTGACGCCTCGGCTGCTCCCGGAGCTGAAGGTGCTTCCTCCGCCATAGCCGAGACCCCCGCTGAAGCCTCCGCTCCCACCGCCGAAGCCGCTGCTCATGCTGTAGCCGCCACCACCGCCTCCCATGCCGAGACCTCCTCCCATGCCCAGGCAGCTGCTGCCACCGTAGCCCATTCCACTGGAGCTGCTGACCACGGCTGCAGGGACACACAGCACACGTCAGAGTCCTGCCATCCCACCAGGAACGGTGCAGGGACCCCTTCCGTGGTGGCAGGGGGTGATGGATGCTGCAGGACCATCCATCCAAAGTGGGAGATCCTGCACCATCCATCGCTCCCATGGCAGGGGTTGAACAAAGAGTGGAAGGAGGGGAGATACTTACAGACACTCACGGCTCCGACTCCCTCTCCAGCAAGCCTGTTGGGAAAGGGGAAAGTAATCAATAAAGGCAAAGCACAGGCAAGGTAGAACATTAGCTGCTGGGACCATCTAGTTAGGCTGTTGTGGCCTTCAGTGGAGACTGGTGGGGTACGTCTATGTCATGGGTGAAAGGTGGCAATGCTCATTTTTGTTAGAGCATCAGATGCCAAGAGCTGGAGAAACAAATCTTTTCTAAGCTCACAAGTTAAAATATCCTTCTCGCTGCCCTTGTTTTACACCTCCTGGTGCTCCAGCCCCCTGGAGAGAGTTCTCTTTTTGAGCCCAAGGAGATGTGCCCTGCTCTGAAAAGCAGCACACAACAGGTCCATGTGTTTGTCCTTACCTGCTCTCTTCTCCTTCCAGAAGCTTCCTGTAGGTTGCGATCTCGATGTCCAGGGCCAGCTTGACATTCATGAGCTCCTGGTACTCCCGGAGCTGCCTGGCCAGGTCTGCCTTGGCCTTCTGCAGAGCATCCTCCAGCTCGGCCAGTTTGGCCTTGGCGTCCTTGAGGGCCATCTCCCCACGCTCCTCTGCCTCAGCGATGGCTGCTTGGAGGTTGGCACACTGAAAGCAAGGAAAACAGACAGTTCTTTGAATTGGGCCAACCCAAACTGCTCTCCTGAGTATAACTATGCTATTGTTGATACTGGCTGGTGGCTCCCAGGATGTCACTGAGAGTTCCTGATGGGCCATCAGGACAGTGTCACAGGGTGGGTGACTGGGAGCTGCAGCCATAGTCATGTCCCCCAAGAAAAGGAGAGACATCTACATCTCTTTGCTTTGCTGGGGTATCTTACTAGCTCACAATTTGCTTCCTCAGGAAGAAAGCGGCTATCACAGCACGTCCTTGCTCTGAGGGACCTTCTCTGGTGGGCAAACTTGGAGGTGACCATGTCCTCTTTAATGTGGGGAGAAAGCCTGGCCTTCCAGCCCTGCTCCAATGCCAGGGGCTGGCTCTTTATGTTGCTTCTGGCCACCACCATCTCCTCCCGCCTGCCCTGCACCACGCAGTAACTGCTCTGCAGGAACATCCCCCTCCTACCTGCTTCTTCACGCTCTCGATCTCATTCCGCAGCCTCTGGACCATCCTGTTGATCTCTGAAATTTCCATCTTGGTGTTGCGCAGGTCGTCGCCGTGTCGCCCGGCAGAGACCTGGAGCTCCTCGTACTGGGGTGCAGAAAGGAGAGTGCTGGTTAGGCACCTTGGAGCTCAGGGAAGGGTGAGGGAGCTTCAGAGTGCAGGTCTGGGTGAAGGTTAAGGGTCAGGGGACATGTTCCTTTGAGCAACTTGCCTATGGAATAACAGCATTTGCCCTTAATTGTTAATATATGCTAAGGCGGCTGTTGCATTGCATAGAGCACCTATGGGTTGTCTGCTACTATTAAGAACCTGGAAGAGAAAGAGGAGTGCTCTGTGTTTAAGTCCAGGTCTACCAGTGACTCTTTGTGAGCCCAGGGTCAAGACATTTAAGCATCTTGCCCCTTGGTTTCACCACAGGGCATGTAAGGGTGGTCAAGGCTAGCAGGCCACAAGCACCCAGTGGGGATCTGTATGCAGGAGCGTATTGCAACAACTCACAGGAAGATAAATTCATCCCTCCATCAGTCCTGCCTCCCACCAGCTAGTGTGGTGTCCCTTGAATCACAGAAACCAATCTGTCATTCTGGTTCCCCACCTTGTTTTGGTACCAAGCCTCAGCCTCCGCCCGGCTCCGGTTGGCAATGTCCTCGTACTGCGCTTTGACCTCTGCGATGATGCTGTTGAGATCCAAGTTACGGTTGTTGTCCATGGACAGGACCACGGAGGTGTCAGATACCTGCTGCTGCATTTGGGACAATTCCTGCAGAAGATGCAAATAATGAAGTTAACGGTCTGGTATCTGGGGTGGAAACCATTCAGGTGACGGGAGCCCTGTCTGCAGAGACATTTTCTTGCATTTCCCCCTGCTCTGCCTCTCACCAGATGCCCTTTTCTACCTTATACTTGCATTATAATTCCAAAGAGGCAGTGACCACCTTCTCTTTTACTGTTGTACAGCTCTGAGCATGGTGGCCAGAGTGCTGGGGCATGGAGAGCTGTACAGCAGGGAGCTGTGGAGGATGCTTCTGTGGGGAGGGCTGGCTGCTTACCGCTTCATAGAGAGCTCTCAGGAAGTTGATTTCGTCTGCCAGCTGATCTGCCTTGGCCTGCAGCTCAACCTTGTTCATATAAGCACCATCCACATCCTAAAGAAAAGAAAATCAAAGATTTCTGAGGAAACCACAAGCCAAAGAGGATCCAGGACACCAGTGGGACCATCTCTCTGCTTCCAGGTCTGTTATTCTTTAGGCTTGTTTTTATGTTGCTATGATCAAGGTTTGGTTTTGGGGTTTTTTTTACTGTACTGTTGGATATTTACTGTGAGCCAGAACAAGGTTCTTGGGCAGAAGGCAAAGTTCTGACTCATGGGGGTGTGACCAGAGACCAAGCTGAATTGAACCACAAGAGGCCAGGTCGTTTGCAACAGGGCAGCTTCATTGGCATGGAGAGGGTTATGCTCATCCTTGGCCTTAGGAGGACTTAGTCCATACTTACTCCTAGGCATGCCAATATCATACTCTGACCCAGCCGTGAGGTTGTAGAACCCTAGCTCCTATCAGCTTTGCATGAACTCTGTGCATGCTCAGTAAATGTCACTGTCTGTCCCATAGCTTCCAGTTCACTCACCTTCTTGAGGACGACGAACTCGTTCTCTGCACCGGTGCGCCGGTTGATCTCATCTTCATATCTGTTAGGATAGAGAGTGAGAGGGTTTGGGTGAAAATGAAGAGCAAAGGCAGCATGGGAAGCAGCGATGGGACCATTCCAGTCCCAAAGCATTAGCTGTAGCTCACAAACATATTCCTTACTCCCACTTCTTTGCAGTCCAGGGCAGATGCAAATGATTACTGACTTTGAAACTGCAGACTCCATCATATGAACAGTCTCAGCTAAAATTAATAGATTCTAATCACTGCCCTTACAGTCAAGTTCATACAAAATGTGGGCAGATTCAGAGCCTGTTTCGGTAGGAAGCAGGAGCAGGATTCTTGGTGACCTTTGCCCAAAGCAAAGTTGTGCAACAGGCTGCTTTGCAATGTCTACAAATATATAATACTGTAATGATTTGATATTTGATATTATAATAATGCTAATGGCTCTGAATAACCCACTGCAGCATTTAATTAAAGAGAAAAGCCTGTGATTCTTTAGCCATGGTTGTGCAAGAACAGATCCTCATGCCCCAGACTGTTTCTGTGGAACTTTATATGGCTCTGAGCAACATCCTTTCATCGGATAATCAGGGCAGGGCAGGTAGAACGTAGACAAAACATGTAGGCTCTTGAGACAAAGACCTGGATTTTAAAGGCAGGTTTGTGCCATTCCTCTAATATTGGCAGAGATATCCCTGCAGATGGATGTCCAAGTGGACATGGGAAGAAGTGGGAATTAGCCAGAGGACTGGGAACAAACTCTAGATTTGAAATAAAATGTGTTCTCTTTTCCAGGCAGTAGCTCCAAAATTGAGACAACTTCATTTGTCATTTTTGGCTTGATCAGTATTTCTAAAAGCCTCTACATCTTGTATATTGTATACATCTGAAGACCCGAGGTGTACCCAAGTACAACGTACTACAAGCTATGTCAGTCCATCCTGTCAGCTCTAAGTGCCATTTCCCTGTCCCCCACGCCAAAAATATCTGTCTCTTCATATGCTTAACTATGTAATACAAAGATACTTCAGGTCTCCAGGGTGTTCTCAATTTGCACTTGGCCAGGTCTAGTTGAATAAGGGAGAGACTGACTACAGCCAACTGAAGATGAACGGCCTCACCTAAAAAAACCACCTATATGCCCCTTGTAGTCAGCAGATGCCAGCTGGCACGTCCTTAAAATGACTCATCCCACCTCTGCTGGGGTGATAATCCCTTATCTCAGGATGGGATTAATTTCCCTTCAAGGAAAATCATTTTCTTTTAAAATAGTCAGAGAAAAGAGCTGAGCATCTTTCACGTGATGAGCACCAGGCGCAGGCAGGTCACCTGGTGCCCTCGGGAAAGGCTGGAATTTTCCTTTGGAAAAAGAGAACTGGGGGGATTTTGGAGCTGGCAGTTTATCGCTATGGTTCATTCCCTTTTTGCATGTCCATCATACTCATGAGGTATGCATTTTTCTGTCTCCAGATCTATTATTTTGGGAGACCCAAGGGATCAAACTGTAACTTCTATTACACTGGAGCAGCTTCCCACAGATGCGTGAGTTCTGTGCTAAATGCTGATCCTGCACGTAAGAAATCTGACATAAGCAGAAGTAATTCTGAGACCAAGTTTTGCTTTGATATGTTCATTTTGCAGACTGGAAGAGGAACCCAGCACAAACCCGAAGGGCACCAGTGAGCATGAGCTGCCTGCCCTGATTTTCCTGTCTGTTAATCATTTATGCTACAGAGCATGATTTCTTTCTTACTTGTTTTTGAAGTCTTCCACCATGTCCTGCATATTCCTCAGTTCAGTGTCCAACCGTCCCCTTTCTCCCATAAGACTGTCCAGCTGCCGTCTGAGGTTGTTGATGTAGGCTTCAAAAAGGGGCTCCAGGGACTTCCTGGTGACTGTGTGACCTTGCTCTTGGAGGAGGCTCCACTTGGTCTCCAGCACTTTGTTCTGCTGCTCCAAGAAGCGCACCTGGGGAGAAACAGAAAACAGGCACATGTGGAGCCCATGGGAACGATTCACGAAAGAACCCTGCTGTCAGGATAAGGTGGGATCATACAATATGGAAAAAAGAAGTCAAAAGACACTGGGACACTTGGGGGGAAGGTTTTAGGATCTTCCTAATTTAGAGCACTGGAGTCTCAGAAGTATCAAAAGATGTTTAGCAATATTTTTCAAGAGCTATTAAGCAGGCCAGACACGTGCAACTTCAGGTGTTTTTCCCCCCACTAGATGCTCAGCCCACCTTACTGGTTTAAACTGGTGTTATCCCATTGAGTTGTGTAGACCTTTGCCAATTTGTAACCAGTAGAACATCCATGCATGCATCCATCCATCCATCCATCCATCCGTCCATCCATCCATCCATCCAACCCCCAGGATGTTCTTTACAGGGAGGAGAGGGTTTACTTTTTTGATAAAATAAGGTGATGAAAAACTCATCCTTGCAAAGAGGAAACCTGAGACAGTTCTTAGTTTTCAGCCAAACCCACGATGTTTGTTGGCTGGGATTAGTTCAGACAAGTCCCTAAATCCAAAGAAAGTTTCTTCCTGTTGCTTTTTCCCGAGGCAACTGATAACATGAAGATGTTTAAGACCAAACTCTCACCTTGTCGATGAAGGAAGCAAATTTGTTGTTGAGGGTCTTAATCTGCTCCCGCTCCTGTGTTCGCACCTTCTGGATTTCTGGGTCAATATCCAGCTTGAGGGGTGCAAGGAGGCTCTGGTTGACAGTCACTTCATGGATGCCACCAGGTGGGCAAACAGGGAACCCGGGGCCACCTCGACCACCAAATCCGGGACCTCCCATCCCAAATCCACTGCCCAGCCCATAGCCGCCACCACCACCTCCTAAGCCAAAACCAGCTCCTGCTCCACCACCATAGCCAAGACCAAAGCCAGATCCTCCACCAAAGCTGTATCCACCACTGGCTCCACTCCGTAGACCTCCGACTGAGCTGTAGGAAATTCTTTTGCTTCCACCTAGGTTATAGAGACTTCTGCTGCCGAAGCCACCACCAGCTCCGAAGCCTCCTCCACCTCCGGCTCTTCCACCTCCAACTCTGGAGACAGAGACGGAGCTAAAACTGCTTCTGGTACCACTGCCACCTCCTACGATAGCAGAGCCTGAGCTAAAGCCCCTCATGCCCCCTCCAGTAGATGATCTGAAAGAGATCCGACTCATGGTGTCTTGTTCGATTGGAAATACAAAGAACAAGAGAAGGAGGAAAAAAAAAAAAGCTGGGAAATAAAAGCTGCGCAGCAGGAAGAGAGCAGAGGGCAATGGAGACAGAAACCCCTGTGATGGGAGAGCTTGGGAGCCTCCTCTTTTATCTGCTTGGAAAACTTGGCACAGGAGTTCAGAACTTGACGTGCCTTGCAGCAACTTGCCTTGTCAAACACACCTTGGTTATGGGGAGGTGCTGAAAAATGCATTGTTTGCAGGCAAGAAAGTAACGGAGTGAGGGAGCTCCCCCCCCCAACTAAAGCCTGCCGCTCTGAGTCATGGAATTAGAATTGAATGGGACGACTTGGTCTGTGCTCAGGGGCAGGATCCAACACGATTATCCCAAGACCCTGGGAGCCGGTTTTCCTTAGGTGAGCCAAACGCTCACTCGCTTGAGTAAGGTTCCTTGTGCTGAAGCTTTTGCAAGGAGAAGTTTAGGGTTTAAAGCATTGCACAGCAAACAGGACAGCAGAAACAGGGGCTTTTCCAAAGCTGCCAGCTGTGGGACTGGACATGCATGTCCTGTGGTTGGCTTGGGAAAGCTGGGGTTGAAGGTAGTTTTACTTAACAATGCAGCTCTTATGACTTCTTTTGGGAAAGGGATTTAAACGATCATGGGCTGGAAGTGATGGGCTGAGTGGAATTTGTTTCATGGAAGGATTTTCTGGGATCTTTCTGGGATCTTTCTCCCCTCATTGTATACTGCGAAATCAGTTACCATGGCTTTCAGGGACAGGAAGTAAATCCCTGTCCAAAAATAACTTCAAATTAGATTAAGTAGTACGACGAGACTTATAAAACAGTTATTAAAAAGATGTTTGAAATGATTGCTCTCCTTTTGAACCTCCTTGTCAGGCTCAAGGTTCAAAAGCTCCCTGTGAAGTGGTATTTTTATCACTTCTTTTCCGCCCCCCCGTGTTAAGCAGCAGTTTCCATGTTCGTTGCTGGCTCTCTAAGATGTTCTGTGAAGGGGAATTCACCCTCTTTTCTTCCAGCTCCCTCCCACTCTCTTCTTCCCTCTCCTGAGATCATTCAGTTGAAAAATCTTTCTAAAATAGCCTTTGCCTCTTGATGTTGGGCTCTTGGGTTGAACCCTTACCCAGGAGCTTCAATCCCCATGATGAGGCTGGGTTGTGCTTTAGGATGGTGTAAAGGCAGGAGAGCTGGGGACCTCCTCTCTTGTGTCCATGAAGAAAGATCTGGACACAGTTTGCAAGAGAAGATATCCCCTCCCTCCCAACCGAAATACTTCTGCAAACTGGATTCTGCCCAACCGCATCCTTGTGCTGTGGGGACTGACCACCTTGGCCAGGCTCAGTATCAGATATAACAATAGTGCAGGGCAGAGACATGGAACCCTGAGCAGCTGAATCAAAAGGGTTCTTGAAATTGCCTATGTGAGCAATAAGTACAGGAGCTTGTTCCAAAACGAGCGGCTAAAGGGTATCTGCTGCAGCTCATAGCTTGTTTCTGTTGACGTGTTTCCAACCGCCGTTTTCTCTGTCTGGGAACTTGAAAGAACCTGAGCAGAAGGGTTTTTTTTGTTTTGTTTTGTACTGTGTGTGTTTTCCTCCTCACTGCAATCAGAAGTCACAACGATCATCTCCTGCAAGCCCTCTTGTCGCTGAGTGTGAGTCACCGGCACCCGCAGGGCTTGGGCTGAGCTATCGGGAAGCCGATCCTTGGAGATACTTGGACGGGCTGTTGCAATGCAGCTTCCCACTGAAAGGGAGATGGCTGGGCGGTAGCAAGGGGGTGCTCTCACCTCGGGATTGGAGATGTGGGAGCCTCCTGGGTACTGGAAAGGCAGTTTCACTGGGAGAATTGCATCCACTCTCCCATCCAGAAGCAAGGAGCCCCCGTTTCACAAGCGATGCACAGCAGCATGTAACCTCAATAACAACACCACTGGGGTTATGCTGGTATTGAAAACATATAAATTCTATTACCAGCTTGGCAGATGTGTGGAGATTTGCTTCCCTAAGCCTGCAGATGTGAATTGGCACATGTCTGCCAGATCCTGTGGATGAGGGCCAGGCAGAGAGCTTGCCTTTGACTTCCAAAGAGCTATGCAAAGTCACACCTGGGAAGCAGTGCACAGGCTGCAAAGGTTTTTAATTAAAGCAAAGAGAAAGGCTTCATGTTGAAGGCAGTCATTACCTCCCCAGCTCTTCTAGGAAAGCCTGTTGCTGCAGACAACGGTAATTAAGTGGAATATTACAAAGAAGTTGGAAGAGTAAAGCAAATGATGATTTAGGCACCAAAACAAGGAAAATGCTGCAGAATCTCTCAGTCCCACACAGTTTCCTTGCTAGGCTTGTGTTGCTCATGCACTGTCCTCCTGCTGCTCAGGGCTTCAGGCGGGCTGTGTTTGCCCCCTCAAATGGAAAGGTTTCCTGCAGGATGTCATAGAATCCCAGACTGGTTTGGTTTGGAAGAAAACTTAAAGCTCATCCAGTTCCAACCCCCTGCCACAAGCAGGGACACCTTCCACTAGAGCAGGTTGCTCCAAGCCCCTGTGTCCAACCTGGCCTTGAACACTGCCAGGGATGGGGCAGCCACAGCTTCTCTGGGCACCCTGTGCCAGCGCCTCAGCACCCTCACAGGGAAGAACTTCCTTATCTCCAACCTGTTTCAGTTTGAACCCATCACCCCTTGTCCTGTTGGTACAGTCCCTGACAAAGGGTCCCTATGTCAATTTGGGAACCAGGATTTGCTGCAGAGGGGTTGCCTGGAGGGTGAGGGCAGTGTTGGGGTAGAAGATAGGCTGGGGTTGTGGAGCATGGGGAGGAGGAACAGGGCCAGCTGACATGTTTGCAGGAGCTTGGCTGCCTGTGAGCACCAGTGTTGGGCTCTGCTATTTGAGCTCTTTCCAGCTCAGTCTGGACTAAAGATGTTCAAAACTGTTAAGGTTAGTTAAGGTTAGGTTGTCATTAGCTGTATGAATTCCTTACACCCATGCTGTGTCATTCAGAGCTTGCACTGCAATTGAGGTGACTCACAGTTTGTTTTTAACCTTCACTAGTTTTTGGCCTGTCTGCAGCATCCTCTGCAACAGCAGAGATTGAGGAGTTAGGTTTTGTCCACATACTTGGGTCTTTCTTACTGTGTCTCTTTTGATTTTCTGGGAGAATGGAGCTTGGATGCTCCCGTGTTTCGGTGCATCCGGGTTTCACCAATGTTTTGCTGCAGCTGGTGTAAGCGTCTCCTCTAAACCTGCTGGGACTTGCTTGCTCTTCCCCATTTGCTGTGCTGAGTTATGTACAGCCAGGATGTGGAGAGGTCAGGGAAGAGCAAAGCCTCTGACTCTTTGAAATGCAATAAGGTGTGAGTGGTTGTCTGAGCTGGGTTTCTTACTCCACTTTTCTCTTCTTTATTCTCCTTTTGCAATGATGGCTGACTGAAATACTGGCATTGGTCTGTGAGTTGCTCTGCTTCAGCTCACCAAAACGCACCCTCAATCTAGATCATGCTGATAAATGATGATTTATCATTTATGTGCTTGCGTTTGCTGCATCATTGTAAGAAAGCAGATATTAAACACTTGGGGTTTGCTCACGCTGGCAGAGCTGTTCAAAACCCTCCCTTCCGTGGAAGAAAGGCTTTTGAATTAACCCCAATCCTATGTTAAGAAATGAATGGTGCTTCACTTTTTTGTCACTTAATGGATACCCCCCCCTGCCCCCCGGCCCCTGATTCTTCTATTTGATGTCAATCTTTTCTTTATAATTTTATCAGAATTTTGAAACTTTTCCCCCTAAATAAAGCAAAAGCCTACTTCATCTGAAGGTTGGGAGCATTTCATGCTACTGGTTCTGGTTAAGACTAAAAAGTTGTAGGAACACATAAATTACAATCCAGTTTTATTGGACACATTCCAGAAAGAGAAAGGAAGGAAAACACAGCATTGTATCACTATCATTGGAATATAAAAAGCTGCAATTTTCTTTTTGATAGTACTTTCACACAAATAAAGAGACATGCTGGAATGCAAGAGAGGTAAATGCCATCAGAAAGGGGAAAGGAGGTTTGGGGCACTCGTGTGCTCCTGCTCCCAGCTGCCTCATTTCCCATGTGCTGGGCTGAATCCTGGCTGCACTTTTCAGTTTACCAAATGTCTTCCTTTTGGCAGAGAAATCCACACACAGTGGAGTTGCTGAAATGCCCCCAGGAACAGTGTGGACATGGGCCTTTAAGCAGATTTTCAGTGTAATTTCCACTGTCTCAGGCTTTCACCTTGACTGGTGCTACCAGGGCAGTGGGGGAACTCAGTGAGACTTGGATGATTCTGGCATTTCTTAAGCTATTCCAACCAAACCTAGCATGAGACAGGACAGCAACTGAATTTAACTGCAAACACAGATCTGGCTTTTGGAGAACTCCCTGCCTCAGTTATTATTTAATATTAAGAAATCTTCTAATTTGGAAAACAAGCCCTTTTCCATAGGTTGTGGATCAGTCACTGATGGCTCCTCTGACAAAATACACCCACAAGATTATGCGTAAAGGTGCCACTATGGACAAACTATTGTTTAAGAGAAAGGACAGCAATAGGAGAGGAGTTTAGGCTTCCTCTTATATAAGCTCATTGCAAGTTAAATCCACATCCATGTGGGTGGTACTTTTTAGACGGAGGTATCTCAATTTGCTTTCCTAATATTACTCTCTGAACCACTGGCCAGGCTCATGTGCCTGACTTCACACAGCTGCTATGCTCAGCACATCTGGAAGAAACACGTTTTTTGAAGCTCATCTGGGAATGGGGAAAAGAGGGTTTTTCCATTGCACTTGGGTAACTCCAAAGTGGCTCCTAAAGGGCTCTGTGCTCCCACAAGAAGGGATATTTTAAGAGGGGTCCCACGCTTGCAAGCCACTGCCTGGGATCTTTCAGTAACCTCCTGGGCTATTTCTACATAGCAGAAAAATAACCCACATTTCTGATGAAGTTGAGTTGCTTAACTTGAAAGACCGTGTTTGGTTCACCCCAGCAGTGAAGGCAAAGCAGGCTGAACTGAAGCCAAGTTCCCAGCCCATCCCTGGGCTTCCGTGGGCCAGAACTGAGCTAAAAACCTGACTTACTTCATCTTCACTGCTATTTGATCTGTCTTAGCTGATGGCTGTCAGCTAGCCACAATGACAAACAAGCTGCTCATCCTCATTAAAAACAAACAAACAAGCGAAAAAGAACCCCAATTCCCGATTCAGAAGATCATTTAGGCCCATGGTTTCCTTTTAATCCTGCTTCAGATGCTTTGAGAGATCTGGTTAATGTGTGTGGTGATGCTTTTTCTCAACTGTGACCCAAATGCAGAAGAACTACGGTGCAAGGAGCTGGGACAGGGCTGTGTGGAGGGGTGGTGGTGGGCAGGAGTGATACAGGAGTAATGCAGGAGCAATGTGGGAGCGATGCTTTTGGGGAGGGTCTGGAGCTGGTTTTACTCAGGCTCTGTAGCATTCTTCAGGCTTTGGCTTTTTATGCTCTTTTTGCTGGAGGAGGTTTTAGAGACGATTTTCACACCTGGGTTGGAGCCTTTTGCACTTCCAGAGCTGAAATTCCCTCCACTGGTGCTCAGACCGCTGCCACCACCTCCTCCGTAGCCAAGACCGCTTGCAATGCCAAGACCACTGCCTCCTCCGAATCCACCTCCAAAACCACCACCCCCTCCGAGTCCAAGTCCTCCTCCGCTTCCGAAGCTGTAGCCTCCACCACCACCGCCTCCAAGACCAAAACCGCTTCCACCACCGCCTCCAAGACCAAAACCACTTCCGCTGCCTCCTCCACTTAGGCTTAGTCCACCAAGTCCTCCTCCTAACCCAGCTCCACCAGCCATGCCAGAGCTGGAGCTGATGACGGCTGCAAGAAAAAGCAACGAGAGGGTTGGACATGTGCATAGCAGTCACCTGGTTCCAGAAAATACCATCATCAGGACCCCAACCTACAGGACTTGAACCCAACTTCTGTCCTCTGTGCAAGCCACTGAAGCTGATGGAGGGCTCTGGATGTCTTATATTGGGCTAAACCTTCCTATTCCCAAGGTTGCTCACAGCATGTGCTCCCAATGGGCCCCAAGCAAGACATGCACTGGGATACTTACAGTAGCTGATGGGGTTGAGTCCCTCTCCACTCAGCCTGTTGGAGGGCAGATAAAGGGAAGGTAAGAGTAAAATAAAGGAGACCAGCTGCTGGTAGGGGCAAAGCAACAGTCACTATTACTCCTGCAGGAGTTTTGCTCTTACCTGCTCTCCTCTCCCTCCAGCAGCTTCCTGTAGGTCGCGATCTCGATGTCCAGGGCCAGCTTGATGTTCATGAGCTCCTGGTACTCACGGAGCTGCCGGGCCATGTCAGCTTTAGCTTTCTGCAGGGCATCTTCCAGGTCAATCATCTTTGCCTTGGCATCTTTGAGGGCCAGCTCCCCACGCTCCTCAGAGTCTCCAATGGCTGTCTGCAGGGTGGCACACTGCAAGAGGAGGGATTGTGACTCCTAGATGCTGCTTTTCTTTTGGGGTTAGAGTCACCCAAGGTAAAAAATGACTCTGACTGAATGTTAGTGAGAAAAGCGATGACTGAAGTCATTCACCCATAGCTACCATTGCTGGAGTTGAAATGCCAGCCTGGCAAGAAAGATTGAATAGCTATCACAGCATGGTACCCTTTTCAGGAGAGAATTCAACATGTTTGATGAGATACATCATACTCTGTGACTGCTAAAATTCCCAATCAGCAAAGCAGAGCTATGGTGCTAAGAGATCAGAGGATGGGGCTCCGCGAGCTCCTTCTGCCATTCGTACCTGGTTCCTTGTGTTCTCTATCTCTGACCGGATCCTCTGGATCAGCCGGTTGAGCTCAGAGATTTCTCCCTTTGTGTTACGCAGGTCATCACCATGCTTCCCAGCCGTGGCCTGTAGCTCCTCGAACTGAGGTGCAGAAGGAAGAGTAAACCACTTGAGGTGTCCAGGTGGACAAGATGTGGCTCAAAGAGCCAAGGGACAGCAATAATGTTCCCCAGAAATGCATCTGAGGCATCTGTGGGTCTGTTCACCTTGGTTTGGTACCAAGCCTCTGCCTCGGCACGGCTCCGGTTAGCAATGTCTTCATACTGAGCTTTGACTTCAGCTATAATGCTGCTGAGGTCCAGGTCCCGGTTGTTGTCCATTGACAGGATGACAGCAGTGTCAGACACTTGTGCACTGAGCTGAGCCAGCTCCTGCAAGGAAGCACACGGGGTCCTGTCCAGCTGCACTTACCTTTGCTATTGCCATGAATGGCGGCAGTCACTGCCCAAGGGTGACAACAGGACAGAAATCAGGGGAGGAGGGTGTCTGTACCGCATCATAGAGGGCTCGGAGAAAACTGAGTTCATCATTCAGGGCATCCACCTTGGCCTCCAGCTCCACCTTATTCATGTAAGCAGCATCCACATCCTAAAAAAGAGCAACCATAGGGACACCTGCAGAAGCTGGTACCTCAGCCAAGAAGTGGCCAAGCCAGGAGATGAGTCCTGGTCCTTCACTGCTGCACTGGTGCTGCCAGCCAAGCTCTACTTGGCACATACCCCTGGTAAAGCACCAAGAGGGCATGTCTTGGCAAAAAGAAATGCTGTGTGTAATGTTGTTAATGGACTAGGAGGGGAGTGCAGTCCTTTGGCCTTGGTACCCACACTACTGACCATCTTTGTTTTACATGATCTGTTTTGACCAGGCTAGCCTGTGTGTATGTTGTGGGACAGGAGCGGGACAAGAATTTACTTCCACCCCTCCAAGCCCCTCCTTTCTCCCAAAACCACAATCCAAATGACAGCTTTTAAAGGATGAGGATGCAGCTCCATGAGATCTCTCATCCTTTAGGACATTCCCAGCCTGTGCAATGGTTAGGGTTAGCTCAGCATCCATAACACCTCCTGTCTCACCTACCTTCTTCAGCACCACAAATTCATTCTCTGCTGCTGTGCGTCGGTTGATTTCCTCTTCATATCTGCAGGGACAAACAGAAAGACATGCTGGATCATACCTTGGTAAGCAGAAACGTTGTACAGGTAGGATGGAAGGTTATCTGGGCTGAGAATGGTGTTTCCAAATCAGCCTCCTGGAAACTGCCCCACTCAAATTCATGAGAATCCAATTTCTCCAAGAGTTGAAAAGACATAATGCAGATGGAATAAGGAAGGTAAAGCTGGTTTAGGTGGTTTTCCTTTACAAGTGTCATCACATGTTGTTTTGTCCCAGCTGAATCTTCATTTTTCAATTGGGAAAATGTTGATGGACAGACAACCTTTCTGCTGCTGTCAAGGAAGACAATGGTTCTGCAGGGAGAGAGGCCTCATAGGAGTGGTATGTCAGAGGGGGATAAGTTAGGTACTATGTTATAGGCTGGAGCACAGACTGGAGATCCTTTTTTCCCCCTTTCCTGTAGAAAGTTTGATGAATATCTCAGGCTGATGTTTGACTTTCAGAAAGCGAAATTTAAGTGAGACTAATCTTACTGCCTAATGCTAAGCTGAACCATCTACATCCTATTTTACCCCAGAGTGCCTGGATGTGCTGCTAACAGGCACTCACTTGTTCTTGAAATCCTCCACGAGGTCCTGCATGTTCTTCAGCTCCCCGTCCATGCGTCCTCTCTCATTGAGCAGGGTGGCCAGCTGCCGTTTCAGGTTGTTGATGTAAGCCTCAAAGAGCGGGTCCAGGTTGTTTTTGCCTGAGCTGTTTTTTTGACCCTGGTCCTGCAGGAGGGTCCACTTGGTCTCGAGCACCTTGTTCTGCTGCTCCAGAAAGCGAACCTGAGCATTGGGAAGGATGAGAGTCTTAGCAGAAGATACCTGTGAGCATGCTGATGGCCAGTAATCAGTAACTGGGACTGATGCATGGCAAAAGCCAAGGAAATCCCAAACCAAGAGTATTAAATCCAGCTGTGAATATCCTCCAGACTATCTGGGGCTGTGTTAGCCCATCCAGTAGCTAAGCAAATCTTAGGGTTAGGGTTAGGGATCAGTCTCAGTGGACAGTTCTCTTCAGAGGCAATTTAATTTAGCAAGGCGATGAGCAGTCATTAGAAAATGTGGGTTCAGCTCTTTCAACACTTGCTTTCTTCAACATCCTTTGTTTTTTCCTTCTTTGTAAGAGATATTCATCTTCCTTCATTAAAGCTAAGATCTGAGTACTACAGGTTAAAAGACAAGTATGTAATTGCCTTTCATTTTGCTCATACATAGTATATATTTATCCAAGTCAAAGCCAAGGAAGGGCTGAAGTTGAGTCAATATAAAAAGGATTTTAGATTGCAGGCAATAAAGCAATAAGGACTAACACATCTGCTCTGATTCCCCATAGAGAGAGCTAGGTTAAGCAGCTAGATGTGGACCTGAAACTGGCTTGTTCCATTTGACTGAATATATCTTATTTCTCAGAAACAAACCCTGGATCTCATCCTTTTATTACTAGTTTCTGGTCTAGTTTTCTGCCTTGTAACTGTTCAGAAGAATGTTCTTTTTGAGTACTTTAATGAAGACCTGCAGGTAGGAAATATGCAGCAGACTAGATCTATGAAATTGTACTTTTGTAGCTATAAGACTGTCTCGCTCCCTCTCTATCACCATCCCACAGCACTTGATGAAGTCTCACCTTGTCGATGAAAGAAGCAAACTTGTTGTTGAGGGTCTTGATTTGCTCCCTCTCATCTTTTCGCACCTGATGGATGTTTGGATCTATCTCCAGGTTCAGTGGTGCCAGGAGATTCTGGTTGATAGTCACTTCTTGGATTGTACCAATTCCAGGTGGGCCACCACCAAATCCCATTGGGTTCCTGCCACCACCTAGCCCTCCACTGAACCCCCCCAGACCCCCCGCTCCAGCAAAGCCAAACCCTCCACCACCTCCCTGTCCACCACCAAAGCCAAGCCCACCAGCACCTCCACCAAAGCCATATCCACCACCTCCACCACCAAGACCAAGCCCAAGACTGCCACCAGCTCCACCACCACCAAGTCCACAGCCACCACCACCTCCCAGGCCAGAGCCACCACCAGCTCCACTCCCGAAAGCAGCTCGGAAGCTGCTTCCAACACCAATGGATATTCTCTTGCTACCACCAAGGCTGTAGAGGCTCCTGCTGCCAAAACCACCACCACCACTGCCACCTCCTCCGATGAGCCTTCCAAAACCACCTCCACCTCCCCCTGACCGTGCCACAGACATCGAGCTAAAGCCAGCCCTATTGCTGCTTGGAATAATAGCTGAGGCAGTGCTGTAAGATCTGCCTCCACCTCCGGCTCTCATGCTGTAAGTTTGCCGGTTCATGGCAGCAGGAGATAACACTGGCACTGGTGAGAAGCAGCAAACAGAGAGTGCAGCTCTCTGACGGGAGGGTGTGCAAGATGCCCTTTTTATCCCCATGGGGATCTGGGCTTGGTTGCATGGAATTCCAGTGATCAATTTGGTGCCTTCATGGTTTTGACGTGCCAGGCAGCCAGCTGTCTCCGTGAGACTTGTTAAACCCTGATTGCACTCAAACACACCTCTTGGAGCTGCTGTGAATCTGTTCAGCTAAAAGAGTTATCTAACTCCCTGAGTTTTGGCAGCGAGAGCTCCTGCTCCCTTAGTGCAAAGCCTCTGTATGCTGGCAGAGATGGATTATTTAATTTCCCAGCTGCAAAACAAAATAAGAGAAACAGACGAAGGGTGAAAAAAGCAAAATAGCTACATGGATAGCCCTGTGCTGCTTATAAGATGCACTAGATCAGTACAGATGCAGCTTAGCGGAGAGTCCTCTGAATTAACTTGAGTGAAAGGCAGTGGCAATAAAATGGCTAAATTTGAACAAAAATATTTCCCAGTGCTTTCACAGAGGGTGGGGGTGATGTTCATGAAGCCTGACATCTCTTTCAGGGCTCTAATATATCCCATTTGCCCATTCACACCATCAGGCAGAGACCATCTTTTTGAGCTGACTAGCACAAAGAGGTCCTGATCCATGATTTTCCTCTGAGACACTATGTTTACATGTCACCTCAAATTTTGTCCATTTAGTATTTAGTCTATAGCAGGTTTCCTAGGCTTCCTTTTTAGATATGCTGGCATGTCTAGAGGACAACTCCATCCCACCCCGAGGCTGCCATTGCAACGCCTCCAGCCATCTGATGATGTGGTCGATGTGTTTTCATCTTGATCTGAAAAGCATTCCAATCAAGGAGACAGATTTTCTGAGAAACACTCTGCCCAGCTTTGTGGCACAGTATTATTTGCATGTCAACGTGAAGATGTAATCAGTCTTGAGCTTCTAGCTCTTTTACAGCTGTGATTTCTTTCAAAGACCTTTGAACATTTCTGTTCAAAATGTTGCCAACAGCAAAGATTTAACCACCATGAAAAATACTCCCACAAATTCTCCTTATTTTACTTCCCGGAATCCTTGGGAAAAGAGCAAATTCAGTGGGGGATGGTGACATTTTCTACCATCTCAGACTGCAATGGAACTGCAATGTTTAGAGTATTTTATTAGTTGTATGTAAGAACACAGTTTTCAGCATGTTGCTGTCCTGGTGGCATTGCCTGTGCTGTCTGCATGACTGGAGTTTAAATATATTTACAGGATAGGACTCTACATGCCCTTCAAAATACATTCATGTGCCCCAGTGCTACAAAACCATTAAGTGTGAGCTAAAATCCCACTGGCATCTCTGGAAGAGAGATTAAGCAGGTGCTTCGTGTTCTACCAAATGCAGAACACCAAGTATCTGATTATCCTTGGAGAAACGCTGCCAGGTAGGCTCAAACTGGGAGAGTTGGGTCACTCAGATAGAATGTCCCATTGCAGTGTGGAATTCCAGGTTGGCACAGGTTGGCTTGGTTCTCTTTGCAAAGTGTTGGTCTGAATCTGCCTGGGATGTCACTTGAAATTCATGAACATCTCTTGCCTTGATTATTTGCATGAAATTCAAAGCTCGGGTGCGATGGGAAAATGAAATTGTCTTCATGCTTTCTTGACCCCGGTAAAGGCAGATTGTCCTGAAGCTGACAAACGGGTTTGGATTAGATGTCAGATCTGAATGAATATAATGGGATTAAAGGTGGGGCTGCCAACAAGAAAGAGGGAATTGTCATTTCAGGCTCCCACACTCTTCTTCCTTCAGCCCACTGTCCACCAGGTATGTGAACAATGTAAAGGCTGGGTGGAAAATGCATTGTTTCTTTCCCAGGCTGGTTTACTGTGTGGAGGATCTGAGGTTTGTGGGATCCATATTCCAGAGGTGGATGTGGCTTCTTGCATCTGTTAGTTGGAATCAACTCTTCTAGATTCTGTTGATCTACAAAGGGCCATGTCCAGAGCAACATGAAGAAGGATTTGGCCTCCAAACTGCCCCAAAATAGAAGCTGCTGGCCTTTATTCTCTCCAAAATGGCATGATCTACATGAGCATCTTCAAGCAGGCAGCAGAAAATATGGATCGAGAAGGGCAGGGATGATTAAAGGTTTTCTCCCAGAAATGCAAAGGCTGCTGGGGCTGTTTTGGTACCCTGGGGAGCTGGCTGGTTTTGGTGTGCAGGTATGTTCTGCAGGGAGGTGATCAACATAAATTATGAGCTGTTGGGGCCCTGGAAGCTTCTTGTTTGGGTGTTTCTGCTTGATATTTGCATACAAATGAGATGAAGTCCGAGTCACACTGAGACATTAAAAATGAAGATAACCATTTCGAACAACATTCTCTTTAGGTGGTGGGTTTTGTCTTCTCAGCTGATTCATTTGGCTTTCACCACCACCCCCAGCCCAGACAGTGTTGCTAAGGAATTTAATTTATTAAAAAATAATTAGTGATCTACTACTTGCTGTTCATCACGATCTTGCTTTCCATCAGAAAAGCATTGCAGACATGGGGATCCTTGAATTCACCCCACTCAGCACAACAGAGTGCTGGGAGAGAAGCAGAGGTGGATGATCAACCAGTGGTAGGTTCATGACCATCCTGCTGGCATGGACAGGCCAAGCCTGGCTGGATGGTTCAACTCATCCTCCAGCCATGGAGAGGTTGGGGCAGGCAAGGCCATGAGTCAGCAGTGAAGCCGAGGAAGTGAAGTGGGATGTTAGGGAATAAATTACAACACCCGCTCCTCAGTGTAGCTTTCATGGGGTGAATTAACCTGCCCACACCCTGTGTTGGTTCCAGACTGGGTGAGGAGAGACAGATTTCTCCAAAGGGTAATTCAAAGTGAAATTGTCTTGGGGGCTTTCAGCTGCGCCTGGGTGAGATGTGGGAAGGAAGGAGCCAGCAGGGCCAGCTGGTTTTCCTGGCATCCAGCTGTGCATCCAGCTGCAACGGGTGCCACCATGGCAAACCCTTCCAACCATGTTATAGAGACCTTTCAGTGGGTCACCATCCCTTGGAAAGTGGGGACCCTTACAGCGAAAGGGGAGGGGGCAACCTGATCTCACCTAAATCCCAGTCTCCTAAAATGATGGGAGAGAGTTTTCCCCTCCCTGCAAGAGGTGTTGGAGGAAGACATCCCAGTATGTCCTACAGACTGCTCTTCATGTAGGTCCTTGTGTTGTAGGGAAGGTGGAGCATTTTGGACGCTACACTTTTGTCTTGCTCTTGTGAGAGGGTTTGGGGCTGCGATCTGGGGTTATTTTTGTTACTACCAAAGCTGGTTCTCACTGTTTTCCTTTAACAAGGGCCTGGCTGCTTTTCTGTTCTGCCTCCAAAGATTCCATACAAGTGTGAGAGATCCCAAGTGAGCTGCACATCCCACAGGTTGTTAAAGCTGGTTTATACTGCATTTCCAGACTTCCTTCTGGCCACACTAGTCTCTGGATGGAATAAAGGTATGCAAAAGTGCATGAGGAAGGAGAGCAGACAAAATCTCAAAAAATAACTTGTTAAAACTCCACTTCTTGTGAGCTACCAACCCCACCCTTTTGGAGAATCATGTTTGAGAACATATCCATGCTTTGTAATATCAGGGAGGGAAAGAAAACCATGAAGCAAAGAATGAATTATGCATGTAGTTTATTGAAGGTACAGCTGAAAGTTTGGAGTAAGCGAAGGGTAATCAACTCTGTTCACTTACACATGAAAAGCATTAAATGGGTCTATCTGGTACACACACAGGAAAAACAACGCATGCATTTTACTACAGAAACATAAGGTGCTCATTGGTGTGTAATTAAAATCCACTCTACCAAACCTGGTGTAGCTACTTGGACCAATTTACATAAGCATTACCAACCCTCTCATAAACAGGAAAAATTGGATTTTCTAGTGTCATCAAAGAAGTTAAATAATAGCTGCAGCTCCACTGTGGACAATTAAAATGTGGCTTCTCTTTCTGAAGTTGGGATGACCGAAGTTTTTATCCTTTTGCAAGAGCTGCATTAGGGGGGAAAAAAAATCCCTGCTGGAAAGTGGTCAAGCAGAGAAGACTGATTAAAGATGATGTGTGAAGACAGGTATGGACTCTCTGAAATGAAAATCTCACCTGGCTGAGACTGTGGGGATGAGTTTCCCCCAAGAAGGAGATGCAAGAGAAGGTGGGGTTTGATCATGCAAAGAGTTTTTGGCAGAGTGCTTATCGTAATGGTGTGTGCATGGGCAGCGCATGGTTGTGTGATCCCTACAGCTGTCAGGAGGAAGGGGAATACTGTTTTATTGCAGAAATGCTGATTATTTTAAAACACAATGTGTAGTCACCCTCCAGCCTCTACCGGGTTGTTCTGACCACGCGCATGGCTGTGCTGTACCTGCTCCCGCCGCCACACACCCCTGCCCCAGGAATGATGATGGTTCCTGGGCTGCACTGCTCCACACCGGCACACACCACGTTCCCCAGGTTGCCTATGCCAGTGGCACACTGCACCCCATCCGCGCCAGAGATGACTTCTCGCCCCACACAGCTGACCACGCTCCTGGCCCCAAAGCCACCCCCTACCCTGGGCAGACAATCCACGCTCCGGGTGCTAAAGCCAGCACCAGTGACACCGAAGGAAGAGACCACCCCTAACCCCGGCCCGGCCCCTCCTGTCTTGACAGCGCATTTGCCTCCGATTCCAGATAGGGACCGACACTCCCCGACGGTGCCACCACCGCTGACCACCGCTATGGGAGAGAAACAGGCTTGGTCAAGCCCTGAGCAGCTAAAACTCACAAGGAAACTTATAAGCTTAAAAGACTTGTAAGGAAATCAAGGGAGTGCTTCATTAGCTTACCTACGCTCACAGGGTTGCCGGTGCATATCCTGTAAAGAAAAGAAATGTCTCAAAGATGTGTTTAGGGAAACATTCCTCATATACACAAGCAAATAGAGGTTCGACCCAGCCATTGATTCCTTAGAAACCTTGCAGGTACTTCAGGCTGGATGTGGTTCTGGGCAACCTGGTCTAGGTGAAGATGTCTCTGCTCATTGCAGGGGGGTTGGACTAGACGAACTTTGAAGGTCCCTTCCAACCCAAACCAACCTATGGTTCTATGATTCAGCTTTTCTGTGTACCCAGAAGCGAGATGCTGGTCCAATTACCCACCAAATCACTGCAGGGTTGGACCCCCAAATCCCATAGGCATCTTAATATCCCATCCTTCTTTTGCACCACAAGCAAGCAGGGCATCTGACTGCAGCGTGCTTGGGTGTGCTGCTATCCAGCTGCTCTGGGAGGATGAGGAGGAAGCAGAGGCAATGCTCCCCTCTACACCCATGGGGACAAAAAGGGATGATGCTCCCCTCTGCACCCATGGGGAGCTGCCTCCACTCAGCATTTCTCATTGTTCCCCTCTCATCCTGTTGGGTTTTGCCAGCTTTTGATACAAAGTGCAGCCAGAGATGCTCCTACCTGCTTTCCTCTCCTTCCAGCAGTGTCCTGTAAGTGGCAATCTCAATGTCCAGGGCCAGCTTGACATTCAGCAGCTCCTGGTAGTCTTTCAGCAAGCATGCCATCTTGTCCTTGGCTTGCTGCAGTGCAGTCTGCAGGTCGATCAGCTTCTGACGGGCATCTTTGAGGGCGCAGTCACCCCGCTGCTCAGCATCACAAATGGCCGTCTGCAGAGCTGCTATCTGTGGACAGTAACAGGCAAGAGGGTGGCCAGTGGTGACACTAAGAGGCTCCACAGGGTTGCTCATCTACTCCCTTGTTTCTCAGGTAAGGACTGACAGAGTGCCTAGATTTAGGTTGGACACACGTTATGGATAAGCTATTTAGGATGAAATAGCAGTAGCAGTGGCAGTTCAAGGCCAGGTTGGACAGGGCTTGGAGCAACCTGGTTAGTGTGAGGTGTCCCTGCCTGTAGAAGTAGATGAGCTTAAGTTCCTTTCCAACCCAAAACATTCTATGATTCTATGAAGGGGAGGGGATCTGTTGGCTGCACACTTGTAGGAGGCATACAGCGATTACTGTTTCTGTTAGAGCCAGACCAACTGGATCTACTTCTTTGTGTATCAACAGCAGAAGAGAACCTACAACCTACAAATTCAAGTTTAAGCTTGGAGGGGGGAGCTCAGCAAGGTGGGAGCTGGTGAAGATGAAGCCCTTTGCACACCCTGCTGCCCATGCAGCTTTCAGGGCTTTGTCCTACCTGTTTCTTCATGTTGTCTGACTCGCACTGCAGCTTCTGGATCATCCGGTTCAGCTCAGCTATCTCGCTCTGGTTGTTCCTCAGGTCATCACAGAACTTGCCCCTGCTGCTGTGGAGCTCCTCCAGCTCCACATGGAAAGAGGATGACGTTAGTATGCCCAAATCACCCCTTCCAGGGAAGGTGGAGATGCTCCGGAGCTGCACTGATGTCTGGGTGCATGTGCTTGGAAGCACCCAGACATGACCTCAGCCCAGGCAAGGCAACAATCCCAGGCTGGTCCTGGGCATTTACCCTTGGGGAAGGGGCTGGTGTTCCTGATGGGTGTTCACAGAGGAGGCCTCTCTGAAGCAACACTGTGGCCTGCTGTGGTCTGGTTTTACAGGGAAGCCTCAAACCACAGTTTTAAGACTGATAGGTTTTTTGGCTTGACCTTCTTTAGCCAACTGCAGTGCATGAACACTGAGGGGTGGGTTTAAGTTGTGTCGTAAAGGACAGAAATGGTCCTCAGAATTTTGCTGGCCAAGAGATTTTGTTGCCATCAGTGCTGGTGGTGTGAATACTCACCCTGGTTTGGTAGAAAGCTTCCACTTCAGCCTTGCTCTTCTGGGCAATCTCCTCATAGCAGCACTCAACACTCTTGATGATGCCCTCCATGTCCAGGTCCCGGCTGTTGTCCATTTGCACGATGACAGAAGTGTCACACAGTTGGCAATCCACCTGAGCTCTCTCCTGCAAGACCCGCTGCATGTCAGTCCCCTTCCCTCAACCAGCCCAAGCCAGGCATGCAGGGACCCCTGGCAAAGGGAGTCTGCTGAGAAGGTGGGAGGTTGTGGGAAGTTCTCCCATTAAAGCCCAACTAGAGCACTGGGTTACCAGTGAAAGTGTTGGGTTCTCTGGGTGGGTGACTGGTTTCCAGCAAGAGCTGGCAGCTGGGACCTGTCTTGGTGGCACAATATGGGATTGCTGCATGCAATTCCCTAAGGAAGGGTGGGGAATCCTGGTGGGGCAACTCGCATCATTGCAATTTGGCATTTCTGGCTGTGTCAGCAGTTTTCTGGGGTGTGAGGCCCTCAGGGGTGGGTGCTTTGGTCCCCTTTGCCTACAGGCTGCTGGGAGGTGTTTGCCTGGAAAAGGTGCAACTGCAAAGTGTCCCCTGTGTGTTTTTTTTACATTTTTTTACATTTCCTACATTTTAGACAAAAGTGTTACATTCACCAAAATATTTTGACTAACGTAGCTTAAAAGGGGAAGATTTGGGTTTTGAAGAGTGAGATGTTTCCATGGTTCCCAGGGGTGCTTTGGATTAGAATTTGAGGGGCTTTTCCATGCAAAAGATCACTCTGTTTGCAGCCAGCAATACAGGAGATAACCAAGGACACTCTTTGCCTTCCAAAAGTGTGTGCAATAGTGTTGTTATCAAATACATATCTAAAAAGATATAGATTTGGGGGATCAAATTCTAGGATTTTCAGAAAAGGCCCCTTTCCCTGCTTTAGTTTTGATGTGGGAGCTCAGGGGGCAGCAGATGTGTTGTCCCCAGGATAGCACACAGGGAGCCAGGAACTCTTACCTCAGCATAGATGCACTTCAGGAACTCCAGCTGCTGCCGCAGGAGGCCCACTCTCACCTCCAGCTCCTCCTTGGTCAGGTAAAGACAGTCCACATCCTGGAGAGACACCATGCGTGCAGTGAACAGACGTGAAGAAACAAGGGCTTTTTGTTAGGTTTGGAGGAAAACTCACTATTCCCAGCCATTAAGACCGTCCATTTTGTGTTGCATGTGTTCACAACCTGATAGAGGTTCTCCAGATTCATTGGGTTGCCTCAGCTGTGGGCCTACCTGATGAGGACTCAGGCAGTGTCATGGTCAAGGTGTCCCCAATTCTCTCCCTGGCCCCACACTCAGGTTTTGCCCACAGTCCTGCTGCTTCTGGCTGGTCCCACCGGAGTTCTCCCTTGTGTCACTCACCTTCTTGAGGACCACAAACTCATTCTCCGCAGCCGTGCGCTTGTTGATCTCATCTTCATATCTGCAGGAGGAGGAAAGGAGAAGCGTGGGATGATGAGCCCTGTCCCCATCACCCAAGCAGCCAATGTGGAACATGGGAAATGTGGTTAAAACCAGAGCCTCTCCCTGTTGCTTTGTACCTCCCTTTTGATTTTTGCTTTGTTGCTGTTTCTTCCCCACCTGACTTTGTTCAGCAGTTTTAACCAGCCCATGCCAGCAGTGCTGGTGGCTGGAGTGAGAGGGCAGTAAATCAGGCCAAACCACTACAAATGCAAAACTCCGTGCCTCAGCTGAAGGCTGGGGCTGCTTCTTCTGGCCCTGCTGCTTTGTGTGATGTTTTTCTGATGCATGCAGGACTCTGCTCTGAGTGTTTATGGGGAGACTGTGGCCAAAATCCCCCAGGGGAGGTCAGGAGCTTGAGCAACCTTTGAAACTCCCAGGTGCAATGGGGAGAAAAGTCCATGCATAATGACCAAGTTAATTGGGACCTAGAAGAACTTTCACAACATGATTCTATGAATCTGACCTCCTTGGTGGTGGCTCAGAGAGAAAAAACATCTGAGATGCTCAACTGTAAGATCTCTGGAAAAATGGGAGAAAGATCTCCCCTTTTACCCTGTGCTGTGTACCACCAACCACTAAGTGTCCTGGCTTGTGGCTTAGCAGAGCACATGGGGAGCTATTAAGGAGTATCTGCAGCTTAGAGAGCCAATTCCTGCATTCCCTCTGGGAAGAGAGAATGAAACCCAATGGAGACTATGTGGATAAAGTGTGGGGTGGAGACAAATAGGCTGAGGGTTTTGTGGGAACGGGGACATGAGATCTGGGGGAGCCACAGGCACTGATGATGAGGGAGGTTTGATATGGCAAACCACAGTGGTGTGCAGGAGCAATAGGGAGAGGAAAAGTGGTTCCCTGTTCATCTCCCTGAGGAAACATTGTGGTTGAAGAGCTCTCCCAGTCCATCAGCAGCATCTGAGGTGCAGCAGTGGGACCCCAAAACTGGAAACCAGCCCAGTACTGGTGTGCCCAGCCCTGCTCCCCTCACTGTGCCCCAGTTCTTGCACCCATCCAGTGCAATTGCATTGGCCCCACGCTCAGGAATAGCAGCAAACACCCGGGTCTGCAGCTACTCCCTGTGTACTTACTTGCACTTGAACTCTTGAACCAGGTCCCTGAGGCAGCGCTCCTCATTTTCCAGCCTCTCCCGCTCCCCCAGCACACACTCCAGCTGCTTCCTCAGGTTGCAGATGAAGTTCTCGAACACGGGCTCCAGGTTTCTCCTGGTAGCTGGGAGGACATACTGCTGCAGCAGCTCCCACTTGGTGGTCAGCACCTTGTTCTGCTGCTCCAGGAGCCGGACCTGTGGAAGCAAGAGATGTGCGAGTCATGCAACGCCCTCATGTTTCAGGCAAAGGTGCTTCGGGTGTCTCCACTTCCTGAAGGAAAAAGTAAGACTAAAATCAGCAATGCAAATGGTTAAGTGCTCGTTTCTCAGCAGCCTGAGTGAGACCAGCATCTTCTGGTCCCACCCAGGACTTGTATTGCAGGCTGAGCAATGCTGATCCATTTGCTCTATGTTGAGGCCAATCATCTTTTCGCCAAAGCTCAGCTTATCCGAACACCATCCTGGAACAACTGGCTGGTGGAGGAACCACTGCCTCCCCTGATGGGCTTGAGTACAGTAATGATCCTTGAGCAGCACAAATGCTCCATCCAGGATCTCATTTGAATATATCTGATTTAAACTCTAACCACGGATATTTATCATGCTTTTCACTTCTAGATTAAAGAACTTTCTAGTACCTGAGAACCTTTATGGATCATGAATAAGTGATGTTTCAAACGGGAGGAACAGGAATTGCTCCTCTTACATGGGTTTGGTTTTTCCAGCTGCAGAACAACTCTCAAGAAAAATCAAGATCAAGACAGAGCAAAGGTTTCTCTGCCATTTGAAAAATCATTCCTATAATACATCTCTAAACAGCAATGAAACCCCTTGGGCTTAGCTAAGAAAACAATAATAGATTACATCTTTTTAGAAAATCACCAAATCATTTAATTCACAGAGTGGAGGGACAGAGAAGTTAAAATTGTTTTCATTTTAGATAGAAATCTATCTTTTTCTTTTCATTTTAACTAGACATCTATCCTTCTACATCTCCTTCATGAAGCACAAACTACTTTAAAAATACAAAAGTCCTTTGGAGTTTATAAAGGTGTGATAACAGTGCATTTGGAATACAGCTTCCTATTTTGCCTTATTACTTTTCCATGTCTCCATCCATTGTCTCACAGGTTTTGATTTACAGTATCCCTGAAGCTGCTTCTGATTTAGCTATTTAGCAGATTGGTGACCACCACAAGGTAAAATACTGCTGTGGTTGTTTTGGTGCAAGGCTTAAATCCAAACAGTGTCCATGTCAGGACCACCATGGTCTATCAATCAGAAGTGTTTACAGCATCAGGAGAAATATCTCCCAACATTGCCTCTCTAGAGACAATCCATTCATCTAGAGACAAAGAGCCTGCACAGAGGGAAGCAGGGTCTCACCTTGTCGATGAAGCAGGCGAACTGGTTGTTGAGGTTCTTGATCTGCTCTTTCTCATGGGTCCGCACTTGGCACTCCTCAGGGTCAACCCCCACGCACAGGGGCTTGAGGAGCTCTGGGTGGACGCTGACGCCCCGAATCCCTTCAGATCTCCCTCCACCAAGGCCGATGCTGCCACCGTAGCCTCCGATAGCCACGCCGTCCCCGAGACCTCTATAGCTGCCCAGGCCCCCGTAGCTTCCGCAGTTACCAAACCCCACCACCGTGCCCATGCCAAAGCGGCCTCCGCCGTAAGCGACGCCGCAACGTCCAACGCCGGCACCGCCGTAGACCCCACTGCGGCAGAAACCCTTGGGCCTCTGCCCAGGTCGCAGACGCTGCGGCTGCTGAAGCCCCCGATCCCACATCGCCGTCCCACCGGCTGGCACACAGAGGCTGAGCTGCTGTTGGCCCTGCCAAGGCCACAGACGGCGGATGCAGAGGAAAAGCCCCGTCTTCCTAGGAGAGAGCTGGAGGTGTAGCACTGTCGACTCATGGTGGATGGGGGGAGACGGGAGGTGAGGTGGTAACGGCAAAGCAGACGATCAGGAGGAGCAGGGAGTGAAAGAAGGAGATCGCCTTTAGCTCCTCTGAGGCAGAGCTCTTCTCCTTATATACATTCCAGGAGGTGCCTGAGATGCAAAAATTTAATTTATCCACTGGGTTTGGCCTGCCTGGCAGCAAGGAATGGCTTCCAACATTTTAAACCCACAGCAAACACTTGTATCTCATATGAAATAATGTGGAAATTAAAATAATCTGCTTTGCTTGCAAGCTTCAGTTTCAGGACTTATATTTTACTTAATTAATCTGCTTCCTTATTGTGTAATTATAGTTTAGCAAAATAATTCAAGGGGTTTTTATTCATAGCTTGTTTACGGTTCGGTTTCACCACAACGTTTAATTATGTTTCAGGACCTCCTGCAAAATGTCATGGCGATGCCACCTCTTCCAGGGTCCCGTGCCAGCTCAGAGCTGGCTCTTGAGCAACGACCGGTGGCGATAGGGGAGGAGGAAGGAGTATCTGCCCAAGCACAAGTTGTCGGGAGCATTCTCGTAAGCATTTGTTTCTTCCTTTCATGGGTACGGCTCCAGCTTTCATAGGTGTTTGCCGGCGCGTGTGCAGAGCAGGATGGGGATGGTGGTGTCCGTATCGATGTAGCATAAGGATGAGTTTGATCATGGGGGACTTGTGAAGTCGAGGCACTGGTCCAGCCGGGCTTCATGTGCCCCTTAGAATAGACAGAGTTGAAGATAAGGCATTTCTGGGAAATGCTTTGCAGCAGACAGTGAGTTATTGCTGTGTTATGTGCCTGGGGAAGGTGATAACTGTGCTCAGTACCTGGGTGTGATGTGACCCGCGCACATGGTGGATTCACGCAAACGATAGCTGGAGATGCAACAAAGTGAAGCGTTACAGACAGGTTGAGAAATGTTAGCCGGAGTGAACTTTTTTCCTCGTATTCCTGTGACACACCTCTTCGACATGAAATGGTTCTGGTAATGTCTGGTAATGAGAAGGTACCATCCCATCTTAATTAAAAATTCTTAAAAAGAGTTTTGAATTTGCTTGGAAACAAATAAAGTCCCTTTTTTGCCTCAACAAAGGGGTCTAATCACAGAATCAGAAGTGATTGCATAGCTTGTCCTAAGAAGTCTTTGCATCTTTGCTGGGGCAAAATGAACTGGTTCTGGGAGGATTCCTAGTCAATGCTATTGTAAGCTTGAAATACATCGTCTTGAATTAAAAATAATGCAAAGGAATTGGGATGATTTAGAATATATTTGGAGTCTCTCTGGGTGAAGATCTTTTTTTTTCTTTTCTACAGGTCTCATAATGGGTTTTAATGAACTATAAAATACTTCATGCAATTCTAATCATGCAGTAGTTCCGTTGTAGCTGCATTGGTGTGGTTATATTAGGATGCACGTCTTGCAATGAGATGTACTTTCGTTTGGGAGATTGAGATAACTGGAGAAAGCAGACAAGCTTTTGGGCACTGCGTCCTTCAAGTTGTTCTGCTCAAGGTAATCCAAGCAACAGGAGCTCTTGCTAGTAAGTGAAAGGGGGAAACAGTCTGGAAATGTACTTTATTTTGTGCTGAAGTGTTGGTGCAAACATTGTGGAAGTCAATTGGATGTGTGGTCTGCAGACAAACCTGGAGCACTGCCTGGCAATAGGGCTACGACATCACTTAGCTTTTAGGTAGTTCTGTACAACTCTTTTAGGTGGGCATAACCATGGGCAAGTTGTAATGCAGGGAGAAGCTGGGCTGTCCCATTACCAGCACAAGTGGCTGTAGCACTGCGTTCTGCTGACTTGGAGCACCTGTGGTGGGGCAGAGATGAGGCATTGGTAGTGGTGACCAGGAGCAGCCACTGCTCCAAGCTCTGGTATCCGGCAGGAGCACAGGGACAGACTCAGCTCCTTTTCATGGCAAGAAAGACACAGCCTTTCATCCCTGAGGGTAGTGTCATGCTGGTTTTTCCAGCTGTGAGAATCTGGATTGGGTTTGGGTCAGGTCTCTCCTATCTTCCATACGATCAGGGTGACCTGCTCGGCCACCCACCATAGAGTGCCTTGAGCTCCATGAGTGACACACACACCATTTAAGGGCTGTAGACCCTCCAACCCCCTGTCTTGTTGGAAAACAGGAAAAATGCCTTTTGTGGGACAACCATCCGCATTCCTCCACCACCTGAGAGTCCTGAGATCCCTTCTTCTGGATGACATTCCATCAGGCTGTTTCCCTGAGGATTGAAAGCAACAAACCTGTGCTTCAACCTTTGGCTCCTCCTCACAGCCCTAAGAAGTGGCTTCTCCCAGGTGCCCAGCCTTGCACATCAGAAGGAGACAGTTCAGGGCAGTGCTTGTGGTTTCCATCTGCTGAGCTTTCACAAAGCTGGTTCGCAGTCACATGGTGGAAGCCCTGAGCACTGGTTACATCAACTTCAAAGGAGGAAGCACTCTGATGTGATTTGGTCTTCTGAAGAGAAGGATTGCAATCACTTTTATTTCATTGGCCCCACACATGCACAGCACGCAAATGCCTCCTTTGCAGAGAACTTCTTCATGTCTCCATGATTTGTCCTGTCTGATTGCAGGTCAGATAGTGTTTGAAGAGCCTAGAAAGGCACTAACCTTCCTCTTTACAAGGAGGAGATGAAACCGCTGTTTTCAGGCTGACGGGATTCATTAAAGCTTTAAAGGAGCAGCTTAACACAGATTTACTGGGGAAACCCCTGAGGTCCTGGCCATAAATATGCCTTGAACTGTGATGGCTTCCATGAGACTCATGCCTTTGAGATTTGCATGTACCCAGCTGCATTAGGCTAAATTAATTCTGCTTAAACACCTTACTAAATCGGGACCTGTTAAGCCATCCGTGCAGATAAGGAGAGCCCAGAGGTGTTTTCCAGCCTCCTGTTACGATTCTGGCTGTAACAACATATCCATCCACGTCTGCTTTCTCCCAGTTGGAAAACTACTGCTTAAGACCCTCTCCTGAGAACACAGGATTTTGAGGGCTTGGCTGTGCTGGGCTCTCCCTCCCTCCCTGCAGGCTGGGCAGTTTCTGTGGCTCCTTGCGGAAGGGACTGCGAAGTCGCCATTAAAATGGCTAATGAGGCCCCTGGGACATCTCCCTCTGGTTTCTTGGGTCCAGCCCTCCAAAGGTGGCTGTTCCCAGTCTCTTAACTGCAGCTTGATTCTGCTCCCACATCAAAGCAGATGGTGGATTTGTGGGGATCAGGGTAGAGGTGATGGTCTGGGCTCTTTCCATCGCCACTGGGCACCTTGCTTTCCTCACAGTAACCTTGCTCCACAGTAGCTGTTCACCCTCAGCCTGGCTTGTCCCTGGCCAGTTATGCTGCTCTGGGGCAAGAAGATGGACAAGATAACTCCCGAGGCTCATTCCAGGCCATTCCTGGAGCATCGGTGGTCACTGCCCATATGTACCAGCAGCATTTGCGATGGTGCCAGATACTTTTACCCTTCCTTCTGCAGGCTTTCTGCTGGACTATAATAAACTGAGGGTGGCCAATACCACCAGCGCTGATGGGAGGATGTTGGAGTATCATTGCAGTAAGCTAAGCAGAAGAGAGTGTCACTCCCAAAGGTGATGTCTCATGCAAGGAACATGGAGAGCTACCTACTGGCCATAGCTGGGTGTCTGCTCTGCCCTGCCCGGTGGTGCCTGCTCCAGGTTTGGAGCCCTGACAACAAATCCTGGTGATTCATTCATGGCAACTTTGTCATATTCTGGTATATTCATAGTTCTGATTTACCCTCTTACTTCGCAAGAATTAAGACAAATAAGTTTGGCACCAAACCCCTCAAGTGTCCACCCCCTTACTTTGTAAAGTTCCGCATTTGCATAGGAATTTGTAAAGCGCTTTTGCATCATCTGACGAACTTCGTGCTAATACTCAGGGCTCGATGGACTATTAGAGCTCTGAGTAATGGGGTGGAATTGGTATGACAGAGTCACGATGAAAGCACTACAGCCAGGACTAAGCTCTGGGAATTGCCACCCAGGGCATGAGGTTTGCACTGGAAGGGTTTTTCTAGGGAAAGGGGAGCAACCCTTGTAAAAAGCAGCCATGAGAACCACATTGGATCTTGAGGCTGGAAGCACTGCTGTCCTGTTTCACAGGACAGTTGTCTCTTCTCTTCTATGGTACAGGCTTTTTTAGCCAGAGAGCATGTTCCTTCATGCACTAAGCCAACCAGGGACTCCAGAGACACCCTCCAGCAGTAGAGTGAGCAGAGAGAGTGTGGGAGGAGGAAAATTCAGCCACTGAATTTCAACTAGTTCCCATCGATAGGTCTGTAAATCTCTGTCTGTGTGTGCATATGACTATATGTAATAATGACCATAGAAAGTAGCTGTTCAGTGTGTGTGGTTAACGTAATGGAGTTAATTTTGCAAACTTGAAAACAGGTTTCTAAAAAATAAAAAGAGAGAGAAGTAGAGACAATGCACAAATATCATGTGCAGTTTATTAACAGCAGTGTAGAGAACACAGAGCTTTTATCAGCACCATGATCTCTGGGTGCTGTGTTGAATTAAAAAGCATTGCTCCACAGAGGGACAAAGAGATGTTCAGTAGAGAGCAAACCCTATCACTGGTCTTGTAAAAATGACCTGGGAGGAGAGACAACATAAAAGAATAAAACCACTTCTAGCATGGGAGTCCTCCTACCTGAATTCAGCTACCTAAAAACTAGTCACCAAATTGAAGTGAGAGGCATGGGATCAATGAAGTCAATGAGAGCCTGGTATCATCAAGCAAAAGCTTGTTTTCTAAAGTCACCAGTGCAGGAGAACCAAAGACAAGCTTTGCGGGGCCATGGGAACATGATCCA